AAGTTCAGGGGGAGACACCCCTGTGTGCCCCTGATGTGGGTACGTACCTCACCATCCGCTGGGTACCGGGGAGGTACGTATCGAGCGCCCGCGCATTTAGTGGGCACCATGGCTCAGGAGGGGCTAAGTTTAGGGGCCACCGGTACATCGACCCACGGGAGCCCACAGGTCGCTGGAGCTTCAGGGCGTTGTGGCTCACTGCAGGGGGGAGGGCTGAGCTGGCCTCCGGTGGCGTTCCATTGGTGGACACACTGCCTGACAGAGACGGCCCTGAGCGCCGGACGCTGACACGCAATGGACGGTCACTGTCCGCCTGCACCTACGGGGTCTACGACTCTGCCATTCATAGCTTTCGCCTCCGTCCACGCAGCAGCCGACCTGGCCCAGGCCGTGCGAGGAGGGCTCCCCACAGCCGTCGAAGTTCCAAAAAGGGGGCTCGGGGCTGGCATCCGACTGGCAGCTGGGAGGGAAGGGAATGGGGATGGGGATGGGGATGAGACAGAGGGTCAAGGCAGGCTGGGGCGAGATTCGCACTGGAATCCGTCCCACGGACCTTCTCGTTCCTTCGATCGGTTTGGGCGGGATGATCGAAGGAGGTTTGCTATGGGGGCTGTGTGCGAGCTTGTTGGTCGATTGGTGGGTGTCGGACAGAGTTAATTAATTTGCCCGGGGCGCAAAGGATATGAGGCTGATGATTGTCGGCGCATATCTTCGTGCTGGATGGAGAAACTAATACGACGAAACTGTAATTCAAGCCGAAGGCGAAGACAGTCCTAACGGCACGGAGTCTCAAACAAAACTCAAAAGCACGGGAGAACGGGCGACTTAGGCGTCTGAATACAGCCTGCCCAGACATTACTAGTCTTACGCTACGACACGTAAATGCTTTGTCCAGAGGTAGTACAACATAGGTAGTAAGCACCGAAGTGCGTGGTAAGCTGCACTTTGATTTCTTTTGCTCGTGCCGTGTCAGACAGCCACCTAAATGAAGGTGTTATCGCCTGCCTTCGTAGACCGTCACCTTACCTGCTAATTATGGCAGGCACCAGCGTTCCGAACCAGACCAAGGAAGTCAGTGGTACCTTCTGCCTGTGGTTCGTGTCCACCTGTACCATGACGAGATTCGCCTCCGCACCTTCCGTTCCACTGGGTAGCATGGAGGTTGGTAGGAGGAGCGTAGAAGACCAGAGAAGGGTTGGAAGGAGCTTCCAACTCGCCCGCCAGACCAGGCCAGACCAGGCCAGACCCGCAGCCAATTAGGGGCACCACGGGGGCCCATGGCACAGTGTCCAAAATAGGGAGGTACCGACAACATGATAGCGCTCACGGCAGACTGGCACTGGCAACTCTTCCCTCCGGAGAGTACTTTGTACCAAGCAACTAACCCCACCAGTGCCACCGACCTGACCAAATCCAAGGCCTCCACAATATGCAGGGAGTCATCATTGTTGTCTAAGAGTGAGCGGTGGGCTGCCGCTGGGGCTCTAGACTGTGTAAACGAAGAGACGGTCAAACTATGGTGCTGCTCAGGTATGTGAGCAGAAAGCAAGGCGGCTTGCGCGTTTGCTTCAAGTTGCTTCAAGATGCTTCAAGAGGGGGGATATCCATCTGGCACTCAACCCGAAAAGGAAACGGATAGATGAAGCCCGATAATTACAGAGCCCTATACGGATACAGCATCAGTAGATGGGCCTCGTGTTCTAAAACGAACGCGTACCTCTGACACGTGCATCGCTGCCGCCGTCAGGGAGATATTGTTAGAGAGACCGCCGACCGTACGAGATCAGATACGATCCCAGGAAGGGGCCCGGCAATTCTGACTCCCGTCTCAGCCTCCCTCTCACGCCTCAGCGGCGACCTGACACGACTCTGTGGTGCGGCCTCGTGTTTCCAATTGGAGCCAACCGGGGCTGCCTCCCTCCGCCACCCCTTTTTTTGGAATGTCTCCTTTTTATTTTGGGCTCGTGTGGACCATGTACATACGTGTTTCCGACGGAGGCGAGGGATGCGTGGATCACTTTGGGTGGGGGCTGACATTGGAGGGCTTGCGCGTGTACCTTGTTGAGCACGCACCGAGGCTGGGGCATTGCATTTGTTAGGTTGCTTTTGTGCACCACTTTTGGTGCGTGTTGGTGCATCTCTGGTGCATGCTGAGTATGATTATCGGTGCACAACTGCAGCAATCCAGCCGTCTCCGCCCTCCGCCACCGCCGCCAACGGACTCTCAAAGTACCGGTCTCGGCCCACCCTTTGCTCGCTTCATCCAATGGTACCTTTCTGAGACCTGCAGACTTTGTGACAATTGTTGGCCTCAATGAGAGACATGCCGATCCAAGTCTCATCCCTTTGCTCATCACATTCCCTCTGGCCGACCGGCGTACTCAGCTTCGAAGACATCGTCCAGGGCTTGCTTCGTCTTACAGTGGATTTCACGCCGGCCTCATGTATCCGTTCGTCCCACTGTCTTTGCTCAGACCAGATTCCGTAATTGATGATACAGAGATGGCCCCGTATTCCGTAATCACTTGGCACCTTTCAAAAGCCACCCGGAGATGGGACTCGGCAACCTGCCAGCCAGCCACTCAGCCCAATAGCCCGCCAACCCTCAACCTCCGGTTCAATTGGGGCCCGGGCCTTCGTCCCATCATCAATGCCCATTGCGACCTCCTGCATTGTCGGATCGCATCCCCGCCGATGGAATGCTGCGCTAGGGTAAGTCTGTGTCCATCCGGGAACCAGCCGGGGCCCATTTCTTGGCTTTCGCGCCATGGCCCTTGTCAGACCATTCCCGCCAGACAGAAACGGGGCGGGAATCTGAGCAATCTACCCGAGGAGGTGGCTCAGGTCGGTAAGACTGATGAATTGTCAGATTTCAGAACCAACACAAGAATGTATGTGAAAACCGTTGGTTGTGTTGGGACGAGCACTTGGACGTTGGAAGCGCAACATCCGCAGCAAAAAAATCAATTAACTTACACTGCCGCGTGTCGGTCAGTCTGAGACACCAAATGCACGGCCAGGTGAACGGCCCACTCTCAAGAATGGGATTGTTATCTGGGCCATTCGATTCCATCGTAAATTCCCATCCACGCCTCCGTCAACCAATAGACTTTGTTCGCTGCCAACAGTCACCATGATGGTCTCCGACCAGCCTAATGGTTCATCCAATAGTCTGCCTCTTTGCTATGTAGCTGCAGCAAACAAAGTTACAAACCACACCGACTTCTTGGGTTCTGGGCCGACTCGATCAGTTTGACATTCCAGACCACCCACCGGTGTCGGCCCTATGCGCAAGTTCCCCTGACTGGTCTTGGAGGATCCATAAAATTCCGGCCATCGCACCTTATCTCATCTCATCTCCAAACTTTGATTGTGTTGCCCAATTAATACACAAACTCACATAGAGCACCGAGAACAAAGCCATCGCCCGAAAACTCGAGACCCGAAACACACTCATGGCGAATACCACGGTCCCACTCACGATACTTTTGCCTTCGAGCCCTCAAACCCAGAACCAGGAATTCTCTACACTCACTATCCCCATAATCTCTCTCGCAGATCCGACCGCAGAGGAAGTACGTGCTCCCCATCCACAAAACACTGCCAGGGCCGCGTGTAGAATAACGCATGGCTTTAGAGGGCCTCGCATAGCAGGCTCGGTTCCTCGTAGGATTACACCTGGTTCACCATAGCCATACCCTCGGGTACCGTGATAGCGGAGTGCGTTGATGAGCCCTTACACTCGCGCGGCACCTGATCTTCCGTCGGTGTCAACCGCACCTTGATCGTAGACCGCGAGAGGTGGCATTCTATACTCGACCGGAATTACCATAGTGGGCTTCCATGTTCAGCAATTCGAACAGCAAATGAACAAGCTCGGACATGACAGCAGCTCAAGACGGGCAGAAAGAGGGCCACCCGGACAAATACATTTAGGGAGCAACGGAACCCAGGCAAGGTACCAAAAAGGAGACAGTAGCGCACTCGGTAGTGAGTGATTGTTCAATGTTCATCTTGAGCGTGGTCATAGTCGCCATGATTGCCGTGGTCGTGGTCGTAACAGTCGTCGTTTTTGGTGGCTTCTGTTAGTTGATGTTTATCGTGGCTACATAGATGGCCGTGACCTCATCCTAAGACTGAAACCGCTCCTGGGCCCGAGTTAGCGTAACTGGAAACTCGAGCTGGTACTCGGTTTGTGGTGATGTGACTTGTTCGAGGAGTTAAACTCGTCACTATCGTCAACGCTCTGCGGCAAGGTTATGTCTGGGTGCCAGCATTGTCCCTGTGTCGTTCTCTTGGTCTTGGACTTGTTGCCTCTGCCGTTCTTTTTCGTAGGTGAACTGAAATATACTGTCTTACACTTCTAAGCTTGTAGTCTTGTGGATGGCGTTGTGGGTTTTGACTTGTGTAGTCTGACGTTGGCTACAGGATGATGAGCGAAACGCCGTGGCCGGCCTATCTACCCGGGACCCAGCGCCTACATGCTACTGTTTTTTTTTTGGAATTAATATCAACGATCTCTACTAGCAGAGGCATGGGAGGTAGCGATATAAATGGGCAGTAAAACCAATCCTGGATCACTGAATTGTCCGGCTGGTTGTTATTACTTGACAAGCTAACTAAATGAGCCTGACTACGAATTCCAAGTGCAATATTGCCCTACGTAGAAGTGATAAAGGCCCAGGGTATTAGTTAGGTTAACCACACGACTTCTTACCTAGGTATCTTCCAACAATTATTACCTACCAGAATGAATTAACACTGGCTAGAGCTGCGATATTAGGAAGTAAGTAGACATCAACAGGCAGGTTCAACCATAGTCTATCTTCAGCCAGGTGAGCAACTGCAAGATTACTCGCTGCCTCGCCACGCAGAGGCCTAGGCCCTCCCTACCTTGTACGGTCTGACTAAACAGCGGGGCTCACAGCAGTCCACTGTACGACCCGCCCTTGGAACATAGACTAATGTATGAGTTGAACCACTCGATGATTCAACGTCCCGGACAGATAGCTCAGTGGTAGAGGTATGTTGATAATGTCTCACACAGTAATCCACGAATGCTAACAAACGTATCAGCGAGGGATTGCAGATCCCTAGGTCGCGTGTTCGATCCACGCTCGGTCCTTGGTCTTATTTTTTTTGCATGTCGTCTTCCCTCCCCGGTTAGGAGGCGCTGATGGGTATCGCAAAGTGGACAGGCTCTTCCCGGCAACGTTCCCCCCCTTAAAGATCCGTAGCATAACTCGTCGCATAAATATACTGAGAGAGTGTGAATATATACGTCTAGTCCCCGGGCCTACCATAGTCCCCGATCAAATGTGATGATGAATGATAAATCGGGAGAGTTAGAAACTAACTATAGAACCTAGCATGGGACGTGATATGCCCAAGGGCGGTGCATACCGCATCAGCTCCCGAGAGCCAGTCACAGTATCGGTGAGAAATATCTCGTAGTTTAAAGAGACACGGGATTCCGGCATAGGAAAACACTGTCCGTATTATATAAACGAATATTGAGTTTGAGCTACGCATGGCATTCGCACAAGGGTTATTCGCATGCATGTGAACAGCAACTCTCCCTCAATTTGCCACCATAGACCAATGGCATTCCCTAGATACACAATACCACCTGGTCGGGCAAAGAGGAGGCTAAAAAAAAGATATGTCGACGGCCCAAAAAAAAAACATACAACAGCGAGGATTCCCCGGTCGTCACCGACCCGAGTACTAATTCGCCGCTTCTCAGCTTGACTAAGGGAGAGCGGACGGGATCCCGTATTTTCTAAGAGCTATGGTCGTATGTGCAAGACGTGGTTTGGCAACAGATCATAAACTCAGTGCGTTATGATTATGATTTCAAAGTATCCAGAAGCACTTAGACTACTCGCCTGCAAAAAGTCGAAATGTGGCAAAACCCCTGGCAATAGACTTGCAATAACAGTATTGAGCACCCTCAAAAGACCTTTTCACCAGAGAGCTTAATCAATCAACACCACATCACATTCAGAGATCATTCTCTGTGGTCCTCACTGCGTTTCCTCATCTCACACAAAGATTCTTTAGGGTCCGCCTCCCGCGAGTGGTGGCGGTGCACTGCCTCGCCTTTTTTTCTGTTGGCCTGCGCCACCCTGCGTCATGCTCCCAGACCAGCGCCCCGCAATCGCCGGGCCAAGAATGGCGCCCCTCCCACTCTGGCTGCCTGTCCAAAAGGTCATCATCCTACTCACATGACATTGATTGCCGCCTCCAAACCTAGGACTACCACGACGACTCCATTCACATTCGAATCCGCAACCGCATCCGCATCGCCGCCGCGCGCCTCAGACACCCCCCGTTCCTCCCGTCGTCACCACCATGTCGAACCGTCAGCAAGCCCGCGACATGCAGGTCGAGTTCCAGGCCCGCTTCCAGGCCAAGCAGGCCCGCCGCGAAGCCCAAAAGGCCTCGAAGCAGGACCCCATTCTCAAGAAGCAAATCCAGGAACTCCTCAAGAAGGGCGAGACCCAGAAGGCCTACCAAAAGGCCAAGGTGCTCCTCTCCAAGCAGGCCCTCGCCCAGCAGATGGACCAGATGGCCGACATGGCTGAGCTATCCGCCGCCCAGATCCAGGCCAACAACGCTATGAACCGCATGACGCACATGATGGCTTCGTCGTCTCGAACCATGAACATTGCCCAGAAGAGTGCCAATCCCGAGAAGGTATGTTCCCCTGCCTTTAATCCTGGGTTGAAGAGAGAAGCGGCCAGACTGACAAGCGCGATATCCAGACCCTTGTCACCCTCGAGCAGTTCAAGCAGCAAAACGAGGAATACGCCATGTCCAATGGCATCTACCAAGATGCCATCACCCAGTCCACCTCCGTTCAGGTCGGCGAGGACGCTGTCCACGAGCTGCTTGGCAAGCTGGCTGACGACGCTGGCCTCGAGTTCGACCAGCAGTTGCGCCAGGCTGCGCCCTCTACCGTCGACCCCCAGGTCTCCGCTGAGCCTACCGCTGAGGAGGAGGATAAACTGCAGCAGAGGTTGCGTGCTCTGCGAGCCTAGACGGAGGAGGGCACAATTATGCGCTTGGCTAGAGGAGTGTTTGGCGATGTCATGGATTGCGCTCAGAGCTTACACGGTTGATATATTTCTTGGACACGGGACATGGCGTTGGAGGGGTTTGGGAGGAGACACAGACAAGTCTATTTTTATTGTTGAGAGTGAATTAAACGAATTATTGCCGGCCTCGTACGCCGCATATCGAACTTGTCGTTCCCTTCTTCCCTCAACTTTTACCGTACATTTCCCCTTTTTTTGTTTCGTCGTCTCTTCATGGAGCCTGGGTCTTCTGCAGACCCGCTATATCCTGTGTCGAACTCGACAACCTGTCTTATTACATGTAAAGACTCGCTACGGCTGTAATATCCCGCTTGATCATCTCCTGTGCTTGCTGCATCTTCTGGTACAGTTCCGGGTCACCCACGATTCTTGCCGCATTCTTGACCTCGCGGCAAGTCTCGTCCAGGCGGGTGATCGTTCGCACAATCGTACCCTCCAGCACATCCGTCAGACCTGTAATGTTCTTGAAGCTCATCCCCCTTGCCCACTCGTAAACAACCTCCATGAGGCCGAATCGCGGCCGAGAAACAAAGTCGTTGGAGTCATCTGCCGACTGGATGACCTGCAGTCTCGTCTGGACGTCATTAACCTTCTCTGAGATGGCGACGATAGTATCGCGGCCCCGCTCTAGGTTGCCAGTCAAAGCAGGCTCCATATCCGTTTTCTCCTGGAACACAAACGCCGACAGGAGGGCCGCGATTTCGGCAGGTTCATAGTCGGCGAGGACGTTGTCGAGAATAAGCTCGGTGAGGACCAATTCATCGCCAGAGTGCACCTCACAGGCGACCTTGCCCTTTAACTGAATCCGTGTTGCGTCATCAATGAAGCCTAGTTCCTTCAACACCTGGACACGCTGCTCGTAGTCTGGCAGCAGCTGAAGGTTTTGGTCCGATAGGGACTGCTTCAGCTGGGAAATGTGCTCCTTGATGAGCCATTCGTCATGGCACATGGCAAACTATAAAATTAGATCAAAAAACCTAGACATAAGGGAAAGGGGTACACTTACATGCTTCAAGAACTCGGGACACTTGATAGCGGGCGAGTTAGAAATCGTCTTGACCAGCTCGATTCTCTGCTCAACCATTTCTTGAAGCTGCAGCTGCTTGATCCGGCTCAAGTCTGCCTCATCCATTCTATCATCCCATGAGCTGCAGATTTCATGAAGCCGATCCTTGGCTTGATGATAGCCATCTCCGCCATTGAAGAGTTCTGGGATGATGCCCTTGGAGACCCATTTAGTCAAGCATTCGACATCACTCAGAGGGACGTGCAGAGTCTTGGTCTGCACCCGCTTCTTAGCCTTGGGGAGTTGGTGGAGGTATTTCCTCATAGAGGGGATGAACGGCAGTTGATCGGTGGCATCGCGCCGTTCTCGAAGGGATTTGATAGCACAAATGTGGAGAGTCGGATCCTCCGTTGACCCCTTGGTGCTAAGACCATCGGACAAAAGAATACCCACAGAGCGGACGCCTTCCCAGTTGAATACAATCAAGCGATGTTGAGAGAACATTCGTCGTCCGATGGGGATCATCAATAGACCTTTGTACAGATCTGTCGTAAGCTTCTTGTAGTCTTGAGCCGCCTGGTGACATTCGTCCATGGCGACATCGCAAGTGCTGCACGAGTCTCGCTTGACTTTTGCCAAATCTGCTTGGGCTAACTTGACGTCCTTCTCATGTTCCGGCAGCAGTTGCTGTGTTGCGTGTTCTGAGAAGCTGCGCTTAATCATTTCCTCAATCTTCAACGCCTCGACTCTGAGCAGGTTCAGAATCATGTTGTATGTCAACCTGAACTGTGACCGAAGTTTCGAAGGCTCTCCCAGTATCATGTTGCGGAGGTCAGCAACTGGTGGGGCATCATCAGAACTTCCGGGAGGCACAATAATGACTGATCCGACCGGGTCCAAGCCACGTCGGCCAGCTCGGCCAGCCATCTGTGTGTACTCGCCCGGCAGGAGGTTTCGGAATGAATGACCGTCATGCTTCCGGTATCCAGAGAAGACTACTGTTCGAGTAGGGAGGTTGAGGCCCATGGCAAAAGTCTCCGTGGCGAACAGCACCTTGACCAGCGTCTGAGCAAACAAGATCTCGACCAACTCCTTCACAATAGGCAAGAGGCCACCGTGATGCACAGCAATGCCCCGACCCAAGAGTTCCCTCAGCCTGACAATCTGGGGAAGGTCTCTGTCTTCGGGCTTCAGTCGCGCAACCGACTTCTCAATAATCATGTGGATGTGGCTCTTCTCAGATGCAGTGCAGAAGTCCTGGTTGCTGAGGGCATCGGCATTCTCCTCACATCGCTTCTTCGAGAAGACAAAGATGCAGGCCGGGAGAAGGCTATTCTTCCGGAGGAACTGAACGAGATGAACCCAAAGGTTCTTGTCTTGCGCCGCCGATGAGAATCCGCCAGGACGACCACCGCGACCCATATGGCCAGGGTTGTGGCTGGCTCGAGGAGGCCCTCCACGGCCTCTTTGTTGTTGTCCGCCTCCTCGCTGTCCGCCTCCGCGTTGTCCGCCTCTCTGGTTTCCTCCTCGCTGAGCGCCGCCCCGCTGTCCACCCCGGGGATTGCCTCCACGGGTGGCGATAGTTGTCTCCGCCGGCTTCTGTTTGTCCTTGCCTTGCATTGCCTGATGTGCGTCCTTCCACCCCTTCTCGATGAATTTCTTTTCTGAATCCACAATCTTGTGAATGTTCTTCCCGGCCCAGAGATAGTGTTCCAGGGGCACAGGTCTCTTTGGGGTTGAAATGACGTAAATATCCTTTTGCTTTGTTCTTCCAACCCATGAGGCGAACTCGTAGGTGTTGGGAACTGTAGCGGATAGAAGGATGAGTGAAACATGCTCTGGCAACATGATGATGACCTCCTCCCACACGACACCTCGCTCGAGGTCATTGACGTAGTGAACTTCGTCAAAGATCACAAACTCTACATCTCGAATCACGTCGGCTCCACGGTAGAGCATACTGCGCAGAATCTCCGTCGTCATGATTAAGCAGCTGGCTTCGGGGTTGATCTGGACATC